AGACGACCTCTCATCATTCCACATCCTCAATTGATCGCACGGTCTCGTCCTTAGTCCGTGGAGTTAATTCTCCAGACTTGAAAAGAGACCAACGAGTGAGTGTTCGTAAGACAGAGTAAGATCGGCGTACGCCGTTGACCTGTTGACGAACGTAAGCAAACTCGCTCGACTCCGTTGCAGCGGGATCGCCAACCTGCTGTGCGGAGATAGACAGAGAAACGACAGCTCTCTGTTACTCCACCATAGCCCGACCGTAACCGTGGGCCAGGACGTAACAAATAAAACAACATGAAAATAGCTCTATTCATATTGCATCTTTTGAAAAATGGAAAGAACTGGAAATGAGAATTCGAAAAGAACGTACTATTGATAGATCACTTCAAGATGAAATTAAGAAAGAAACTAAAACTTGGAATAAGATTCTTGAACGAATCTTAGACGCAATCATGTTTCTAGCCAAGCAGAATTTATCTTTTCGTGGTCATCGAGAAAACATTAACAATAATAATAGCAGTGGTGGTAATTTCTTAGAACTAATAAAACTTATAGGAAAATATGTTCCTGTTATAAAAGAACATTTGATAAATATTCGTCTGGCTAGCGAAAGACGAATACACTTGCCAATTTCTTACTTGTCACCAGATATTCAGAATGAGTTTATTATTCTTCTTGCACGTTGTGTGAAAAACGAAATTTTGAGCGAGATACGTGAAGCAAAGTATTATGCCATTCTTTTTGATAGTACACCAGATGTTGCACATATTGATCAGATGACAGAAATAATTCGATATGTAAAGATTGATGATGCAAAAGTAGAAGTCAAAGAGAGCTTTTTACAGATTCTTCCTATGAAAGGAAAATCTGCTGAAAAAATTGTAGAAATGATTCTAAAATTACTGAATGAGGACAAACTGCTGATTGAAAATTGTCGCGGCCAAGGCTATGATAATGCTATCACGATGTCAGGCGTTCACCATGGAGTGCAGTAGAGAATAAAAGATATAAATCCCAAAGCAGAATTCATTGCTTGTAATAATCATAGTCTTAACTTAGCTGGCGTTCACGCTGCTGGACAGGGTGTACATTCAATTACTTTCTTCGGAACAATAGAGAGAATTTTTACGTTCTTTTCCGCATCTACTCATCGTTGGGATGTGTTAAAGCAATTAGTCCCTGTAACTGTAAAGAGAGTAGTCGAGACGCGTTGGAGTGCAAAGCATGACGCAGTTAAGGCCATCAGTTCTCATTATGCAGAAGTATTAGATGTTTTGGAAATTCTAATGAATCACTCGGAAAATACCGACACGTGCGTGATGCAAGTATTATATATGGTAGTATAACTACCTTCTTTTTTCTGTGCTACCTGCACTTCTGGAGCAAAATATTGCCTGAAATAGACAAAACCCAGAAATATCTCCAAACTAGTGGTTTAGGTCTCGATCAGTCGGTGATTGCTATTAATACTTTAGCATCTTTTCTGTGCAAAAATAGAGATAGTCTTATCAGCAAGGTATTGGCTGATGTCGAAATAGTCTTATCAGCAAGGTATTGGCTGATGTCGAGATAATATGCGAGCAAATGGAAATTCCTATTACAAAGCGCATGCGACGAAAGAAAAAAATGGCAGGAGAAAAAGATGATGCTGGTTTATTACTACAGCAAGAGATACGGCGGGAAATGTTAGAATCTGTTGATCGCTTGAAACAAGAAATTACACAGCGTTTTCAACAACTAATGTTGTTAAATGAACGCTTTGGATTTTTGAGCTTAAAAGTATTGCTTGATGGAAGCAACGATAAATATATATGGCAAAAAGTTGATAAGCTACGTAACATTTACGACGACATTGATTCTGATGAACTCAAATTTGAAGTAGAAAAGCTCCGACATCTTGTAAGCAGTTGTTACAACAGCAAAGAAAAAACAGATATACCAGCAGTTGAATGGTCAGCAGCAACATTTCTCGCATAAATTTTTCAATGAGGTTTCACAGAAATGCTTCCAAATTTGACAGTAGTCCTAAGAATTTTTCTTACTATGAGCGTGAGTGTTGCCACCTGCGAACGAAGCTTTTCGAAGTTAAAACTAATCAAAACTTACCTTCGTTCAACTATGAGTCAGATGCGATTAAATAGGCTTGCGTTGCTCTCAATAGAACGAGATGCAACAAAAAAAGTTGACTTTTTTAATGTTATTAAAGAATTTGCAAGTATCAAAGCCCGCAAAATTAAAATTTAGTTTATTAAAAGTTTTAAGATTATTTAAGTTTAAAGTTTATTAAAAGTTTTATTTAAAATTTAGACTTTATTGTTTATTTTTTTATGTGAATTGACTATAAAATTGATTATAAAAAAAGTAAAAGTGTAAAATAAAAAGATGTTGAGTACTAAATTAAGAGAACAGTTTGTTAGTTATTTGAGTGATCATTATCAGAATAATCTAATAAAGAAGACACGAGGAAGAAAGACCGCCCCGGGCGCTGTCTTTTCTTACTAAGAAGTCTTCGCCACTGACGGAGTTACTGGATAATTTGTATTTACCGTTAGTGGAGAGGTTTAGAAAACTTTAAAATTTGTCACTCTTTGTCGAAAACAACAGATGTCTCTGGTTCTCTCTTTCTTTTCGCGTATATTTATATGTTTTGACTTTTCGTCATTCTCGTTACAACGTTAAGAGTAACAACACGTGTTATATTTTGTGTCTAATATGTGCGTGACACACATTGTACGTGTCAAATGAATTTATTTATTTAATTATTGCGAGTAATCTTTTGTGTTTTCTTTGTATTTAATCTTTTATATTACAACTCATTTGTCTCATCATATTGTAACATTATAACAGCTTTGTAGTTCTGAAGAGGATCCCACCCAAGGATCGAAACATTAACTGTTTTAAATAAAGAGAAGTTCAAGAATACATATACACACTACTAACTGTGTCTAGGCTCACATTGACCATTCCCATTCTACAAGTTTTTGTTTTACAAAATTGGAGCCTTTTACGTTTTTATAGTATCAATAGGTATACATTTTTTAAGTTGTACAAGCGTAGTAAAGTAATGAAAATCTGGCAACGCACAATTCTTCTTTGTAGCATGTATCTTGCCAGTTGCTACTTTTGTAATACTATTTGTCACAAGTCATGTATAATATTGAATTGAATCCTAGACGTTTTTCACTTATAATTTTTTCAAGAAAACATTTTTTTGAAAGCACTTTAGATTTTTTCTGAGTTCATGTAATTTACAAGAAAAGATCAAGAACCCGGACTCTTAGATTTCAATTAGAAGTTTTGTGAGTATGTAAAGGACCTCAATATATGACTAACGGTATGCACAATTCGTGCATACCGTTAGTCATATATTGAGGTCCTTTAAAGATATGATTTCTTCAAAGATACAATCATCTCATTTCTTCAAAGATATGCTTACACTTTTTTGCGTACATCTCTTAAAGTACAAGAGAAAAATGTTTAAAAGCTTTACAGCAAGTTAATTGCTACAAAATGACATAAACAAAAATTCAAAAAATTTTGTTTATTGAAAAATAAATTATTTTGTGTTGTTTGAAAATATTTGTTGTATTTCTGTGATAATAAAGGAAAAAGAATATTTTTCTGAATTTAACCATGTATATATTTTTTACACTATATTATTTTATAATGCATTTACACGTCAGAAGTGCTTTATCTCATGGCTAGGAAAAGTAAAGTCTAAAGCGATAATAAATAATACAGGGTCCGCCACTTAAATCCGGACAAATTTGAATTTGACATTCCCATCATATTAGAATGCAGCAGTAGGTGCCATATGACCTAAAGATA